TTGGAAGAGAGAATGAAAGTGGTCTGGTATATTAAAATACAGATCTAGTGCAAATCAGTGTAATTTAATCAGCTTAGTTTTTATCACAGTAAATTGAATGTCTGACCATAATTAATTTGTAAAGGATACAGAGTCCAATGAGCATCCTAATGTATCCTAACTGAATTATATTCTTTTGTAAGCTTCTGCAAAGGTATTATCCTTGAAATCACACAGTAACAAGGCATGGTTTGGGTTATGTCAGAAGTATGTCACAAAGGGCATTTTTGAGTTTTACTCTAAATATTTCCAAATAAAGGTTGGGTATCAATACGCAGAAAGGAGCTGTGATGAAAAAATAAAGTTTGTTTAGAGACTTCAGAAATTTTTCAATTTTGATACTTTTTCTGCTGTTGAATCTTCATTCACTTGATCTAAGAGCATTCTGATGAATTTCAATAACTAATGAAGTCATTGCTGAAAACATAGCTCCCTGATCCTACTATGTGGAATGAAGAAGAATAAAGGAAAAAAGGGGACCCATAAAACTCTAATTTAGAAAGTTGATAAAATACCCACAGGAGTCTTTAAGCATGAATTTAAGAGATACTTTGGAATGGAAGAATCTATATATCAGACAAAAGCCAAGATAATCTTGTCTGTACTCTGAGAAAGTGATATTACTGTTTAAGACAGAACAGCAAGGTGTCCATATTGAAGTTGAGTATCAGTTAGCATGAAAGACCTAGAAAACAAGGTGGTTAGACAATTACGTCATCTTCTATTTGTCCTTATGTGGTCATTGATTGACCTATGCCACTTTCTTCATTCACCATGGTCTTTATATCCTGATTTATAAATATCTTTTCTCCATCAAACTTCTGCCATAATCACAGTGAACTTCCAGATTCATAAGAACAACCCTCCCAATTACCTAACACCAACATTTTTGGATCCTAGCAAAATTTATGCCACCTAACTTTTAAAAACTCATTTCTACAGACCCATAAAGACCCTCTCATCGCTTGGAACTGCCCCACCTCTTAAATCGTAAACTCTTAGGTATGGGTTTATAGCTAAAATCTTTTATCTCTTCAACTCCTTTCTTGTTTTACTTTCACCACACATATTCTTCAAATATATGGTGATACCCACCCCTCACATAAATACCTTTATACACTTTTCATTTCTAGTGTAGGCTTCCGGGTTCTTCAATGCAATTACTCTTTTGTCCATTCTGTCAGTGTTTCTGAAGTCCTGCCCTGTCATTTCTTCCATTATACTAACCAGGCCTACCCTGCCCCCCGCCCTCAGAACCTTACCTTGGAAAAATCCAGCTATCTGTCTTCATTTCTTGTATTCAGGTAAAAATGGCTAAAAGAAGTCATTGACCTGTAGATTTATGCCAATATTAATTTTATTGCCTCTATCTTTAGCTTCTCCCTCCATTGCGTGCTTATTTTCCCATTAACTACAAGAGCAATTTCAAATCTTCTCCAACTGTAGAGCTTTTTATCTAAACAACACTTGTGGCCTCTCCTTCTCAACAAGCCACTTTATCTATTTCCCAAATAAATTTTAGGCCTTCAAGCTTGAATTCATTCAACTTTCTACGTCCATATCTATAAAATTCTATATAGTATACACTTACCCTAACTTTCTTTTCTACAGTCTCATGATTAGGTTCACATTTTCCTGTTAAAAGCTAATAATCTCTCTATGTATGATTTTTGCAATCTTTAAAATCAAGTAACATAAGGCCTTTGTGTAAGCCAATATATTTATGGTACTTTGTTATACAGGATACAAAATAGATATTCCAATGTCATTCTCCTTTTCCCAAGATTGTTTTGGTTGTTCTAGGACATTTGTATTTTCATATCAATTT